CGACGAAACAGTCGTTCGAACGATATATGAATATAACGGATCGAAATATCGAAATATCGATCTATTCACGAAACTGTAGAATTCAATTTTCTTCTTTTGTGCGATAATAATCTTGTTATTGTATGTTTCATATTTACAAAATGTCTGAAGATTTACATGTTGTTTAGATGTCACGCGTGTTCAAAGGCATTCAGTCAAGCTGCGAATTTAACTGCCCACGCAAGAACTCATTCTGGAGAAAAACCATTTCGATGTCCAGTGTGTGATCGAAGATTTTCACAAAGCAGTTCCGTAACTACACATATGAGAACGCATTCAGGAGAACGTCCGTATAGGTGTGTTCCATCTCATTGTATGGATTATTTACTCTACATATGCCACTTGAACCGGTATATGTATATATCTCTCGTTGCTTGGAAGTATTTGTATTCTGGTTGCATGCAAAAACGTATAAAATTCTTTAACGACACTACCTACTTATACAAAATTATCAATTCTTTCTAAATTTATATAAATCACTTCCAGGTCAACGACTGTCAACGTGACAATCACGTCAAACAGTAATAGTCGTGTTGGATTTCGCGAGTTTCGACTGATCGATCGATTTACCTGGCAACCTTTTCATTTCAGATGTCGATTCTGCAAAAAAGCATTCTCGGACAGTTCTACGTTAACCAAACATCTTCGTATTCACTCGGGCGAGAAACCATACCAGTGTAAGCTGTGCTTGCTGAGGTTTAGTCAAAGCGGTAATCTCAACAGGCATATGAGAGTCCATGGCGGCTCTCTAACGTGACACAGCTCAATATCGATTATCGATAACAATCGTGTTTTACCGCGATGTTGTCGAATACCTGTGATTCAACTTGGTTCGAGCTTACCGGCGAAAATGTAAAATAAACTGCGACAGTGTTAATACTCTCAATAGAGTTCTGCTTTCTCTGACTGACTCAAATTTGCAAAGCGTTCTCGTGCGAACACCTGGTCATTTAAGGGCTTACATTTGGATATTTTTTTAAACGATACACAGACAAGTAATAATCACAATATGTGTTATATTTGGCATTAGGAACTCATCAAGAATTCATTTTATATGTATATATATATACATATATATATACATATATATATATATATCGTCATCATTATTATCTCCTGAATCGGAACGTTAAATCGGAGGAAATAAAAAAAAAAAAAATGAAACACCGTCATAATATTTTAGAAAATATACACCCGCGAAAAATTTCCTGATCGTTTGTTTGTACGTTCGCGAATTGTTTACAAATAGGTCAGGATAGGTTAACAGGGTATCGCAGATTTAGACCTACAGCATCCACCACAGCACCGTTGATTATTGTACAAATATTGTATTTATTATAATTATTATTAATTATAATATTAATGTTGCTGTTTTCACCATCTTCAATTTTCATTATGTGGCTTTTTCTTTGTCAGTTTGCTTCTTTTTTGTAATTGTACGAAGGTGTTTTGGCGCCATTTCCATAAAAAAAAAAAAAAAAAAA